GGAACCATCTCCCTCTCGAACTCTTCTTGCTAAGTTTGTACTCCTAAGACTATAGTGGCTGCTGTACCTCCTACCAGTCAAACCGCCATAGGGTCGTCAAATCTTCATGGAATTTCATGATTCAACTTGCTGCTGATAGACGACAGCAACGCGCTCCAGATCCAATTTACAGATCACCGTATGAGGCACAGATCAGATCGCCACCAAGTTTTGAAGCTATCTGACCGAATTCTGACTGTCCTGAATTTCTCTTATTTTAGGCACATCTGAGCCTATTGTGATTATAACAAGTGGTATCAGAGCTCCTTGGAGCCTTCTCGACCATGCCTAGACCTGAGGAAGGGGGTGGCAGAGGTGCTGGAGGCAGAGAAGACGCCCAAGCACAAGGTCAACACCAAGATCCACCCGTTGCTCCGGTGCAACCTAGCCTTGGACCCTCTAGGGATGAGCCTAGAGTGTTTGGCCTTGACAAGTTCAACGGTGACAACTTTGCTGAGTGGTCCTTCAAGATGGAGAACATCTTTGACCATTATGATCTGCTGGAGGTGATGGAAGGAACGGAGAAGCGCCCCGAGAACGACCCGGAGAAGAGCCCGTGGGTGCGGAAGAGCGCACAAGGCTACCTTCTACTTGGCCAAGCGTTGGGGAGCAGTCAAATCCGTCACATCAAGCCTTTTCAGCGTGAACCAGCAAAGGGACCAAAGGCATGGGCTGCTCTCAAGGGTGTACACGCTCCTGCAACAACGGCGGTGGCTGTGGTTTTGGAGCGGCAAATGGCGGCACTTCGAATTGACGAAGGCGAACCAGTGGAGGAAGGAGTGCAGAAATTCTTCGACTTGTTGACACGGCTCGAAGGAGCTGACCTGAACTACAGTGACCTTCAAAAGAAGACCAAGCTGCTGGCCTTACTTCCAGACTCATGGTCCTCGCTCATCATCAACCTAAATCGAGATCTGCCCCGTCTCTCACTCGAAGATGTGAAGCGGGAAATCTTACAAGAAGATTTCCGCCGTCGCGAATTGGCGGGTCCTGATGGTGCCGGAGTTGCAAGCATGGGCCGTGGGCACGGCCGTGGAAGGGGCAGAGGGCGAGGAGGCAGATTTGGCAGCACCAAATTCAATGGAGGTCGTGGTGATGGAGGATATGGCAGCAACAACAATGGCTACGGGCGTGGGCACGGTCGATTTGAAGGCGAATGCCACTTTTGCCACAAGACCGGCCACATGTGGAGAGATTGCTTCAGATTGCCTGATGGATGGACCCCTTCTCAAGGCCAAGAGGGCAGAGGAGCAAGGGGAGGAAGAGGCAGAGGTCGTGGAGGCCGTGGTGGCCGTGGAGGCGAAGCGGCAAGCATGAAAGGTGGAGACTACGACAAGGACTCGAGTGAAGATCGATACCCGGGCCAATTCTTCTTTGTCTCCACACAAGCGGCAGCTGCAGCAGGAGGTGTGGATGGCTTTGAGGAGCCAGCAACTGTGGGAAAGGTCACCCTTCACTCTCTGGACTTTTGGGTGATCGATAGCGGCGCCACCTACAGCATGACACCTCGTGCGGACTTGCTCACCGAACTCGAACCGTCGCCGGTCAAGCATGTTACATCGGCTTTGGGGCAGCGAGCAGAGGTGAAAGGCATGGGCAAGGCCATGTTCAAGGGTGCTGATGAGAAGATGGTGGGCCTCAAGAATGTGCTTTGGGTGCCCAACCTTGCAGCCAACCTGATCTCCGTTCGGCGTTTGCAAAAGGCCGGCATGGACACATCTTCCAAGGGCTCCAAAACATATACCGCGAGGCTTGGTGAGCGGAAGCTTTGGGACCTTCATGAGGACAGGGACATCTACAATGAGATGTGGTAAATCCCAGTGGTCCCCATGCCTAAGGGGAGGCAAGTGGCAGCAAGCGTCAGCTCCAAGAGTGAAGCGGTTGGTGGCGGTGATCACGGAAAACAAAGTGACACCAAGAGTGACTCGAAGGAGTGCAACCTTGGAGAGACCAGCAAGGCGTGTGAACCCAAGGAGAGTGGTGCAGCAGCCAAAGGTGGTGGAAATGAGGAGGAGAAGCCTAAGATCAGCAAAGCAGCAGCGGCAAAGGAGAAAGGAGAGAGCTTGTGGGGCACGATTGCGAGTGCCGCTTTCTCCAACCCGACTTCCGCTACGGGAGAGTGTGATTGGCTGACCTTGCATCGGCGAATGGGGCATGTGACATTGCCCATTTTGCAGCAGATAGTTAAGCAAGAGATGGTCAGTGGGATACGTGTCAAGGGGGAGCCCAATGAGGTGCTTGGCTGTCCAACATGCATGCAAGCCAAGTTCACCCGCTACCCGTTCCATAGCTCGGAGACAACGGCGAAGGCACCACTTGATGAGGTGGTGATGGATGTGGTGGGCCCCTTGAAGCTTGGAGCTGCTGGAGCAGAGTACTTCCTCACCATTGTGGACGTCTACACTCGCATGACTTGGGTGTATGTGCTGCCGAAGAAGAGTGACGTAGCTGAAACGGTGAAGACCGATTGGTTGCCGATGGTGGAGCGGCAACAAGACTGACTTGTGAAGGCGATTCGCACTGACCGTGGGAGAGAGTTCCTGAGCAAGGATTTCTCAACTTGGCTGAAGAAGCAGGGCATAAGGCACTCTCTTACCATGCCCTACTCTCCTGCAATGAACGGCATCGCCGAGCGTGCGAATCGGACACTCACGGAGACGGCTCGGGGACTTCTCATTGAAGCCGGTCTACCCAATTACTTTTGGCCGGATGCGGTGCGGCATGCTTGTGTGGCCAAGAACAGAGCCTTGACTCATGTGGGAGAAGACAAATGGGTGCCCTATGTGGAGTGGATTGGAAGGAAGCCGAAGGTGGATATGCTTCGGGTGTTCGGGTGCATGTGCATGGCACTTGTGCCTAAGAAACTTCGGCACAACAAGCTTGATGCCAAGGCAACATGGGCCGTGCACCTTGGCATGGCCCAAAACAGCAAGGGATGGCTTCTATGGGACCCATTTACCTAGAAGTTCTTGGTGAGCAAAGATTGCAAGTTCATGGAGAACTTATCGTACAAGGAGTGGAAGGCGGAGAACCAAGCGAAGATTGGTGTGCGGCTTGGAGAGGTGAAGAGGACCGGCTTGGAGCATGTGGAGCTGCCCTTGGAGCTGAGTAGCAGCAGCACAATCACGAGGCAATCTCTCCAAATGAATGGGGATGAGGAGGAGGAGGAGGTGCAGCAAGGTAATGAGCGTGCACCGCCACTTCCGCCTCGTGCTACAAGTGCTCGCGGGAACCGACCGGACTTACCGCAAAGCCATGAGAGCATTCAAGTTCCTGCAGCAGAGGAGGAAGGAAGGGGGAGAAGGAGGACTCAGCCCCCTAATAGGTTGAGCTATGAACGGCTTGGAGGACCAGCCAACTCAACCTTGACCGGTTCGGCTCTCATGCTAGGCGATGATGCGGAAGATGAAAGCGAGGAGTGCGCTTTTGCCTTCTTCTCTCCGGTGGAGATACCGGGGGAGCCTACAAATCCCAAGGAGGCTTGGGAGGGCCCCAATGGGAAGGAGTGGAAGAAGGCCTCAGATGAAGAAATGGGGAGCATCATCGAGAACGACACGTTTGACTTGGTGAACCTACATCTGGGGCGGAAGGCGATCTCTTCCAAGTGGCTCTTCAAGCGCAAGACCGACGCCGACGGCAACATCGAGCGCTACAAGAGCAGACTTGTAGCCAAGGGGTATCAGCAGCAAGAGAAGAAGGACTACAATGAAGTGTATGCCCCTGTGGTGAAGGGTACAACCCTTCGAACCCTCTTCGCCGCGGCGGCCATCAAAGGATGGGTGGTGAAGCAAATGGATATCGTAACGGCCTTCCTCAACGGCGTTTTGGAGGAAGAGACCTTCATGGAGCAGCCAGAGGGGTACAATGATGGGAGTGGCAGAGTGTGGAAGCTGAAGAAAGCACTCTATGGCCTCAAGCAAGCCCCTAGGCAATGGTACATCAAGCTGCGGGAAGACTTGGAGGCGATCGGCTTCACTCCCTCAACGGCCGATCAATCCTTGTTCATGCTTGGCGAGGGGGAGCAGAGGAGCTTCATGGTGGTTTATGTGGATGACATCCTCATATTCTCACCCTCTTCTGACCTTGTGAAGGAGGTGGTGCTGAAGCTTCAAGACAAGTTCAAGTGCAAGACCCTTGGTGACGTCAACTACTACCTTGGGCTTCACATTGAGCGAGATGTGGAGAAGCGGTGGATGCGAGTGCATCAAAAGAAGTACTTGGAGGCCTTGGCTGCAAGCTTTAGGAATAGTGAAGGTCATGTGGCTACTCCTCTTCCCTCAGGGTTCAAGTGTGTGAAAGGACCAGCGGAGGAAAGTGTTGGTGAAGAGGAGAGGCGCCGTTTTCACTCCTTGGTGGGCAGCCTCATGTATGCGGCCGTTCACACAAGGCCGGATGCAGCCTTTGCTACCGGGCAGCTGGCTAGGGTTGTCCAATGCCCTAATGAGGAGCAGGTAGCTGCTGGAGAGAGGGTGGCCAAGTACCTTGGCCAAACAGCAACTGTTGGACTGCAATACTCCGCGGCGGCACAAAGGCGTCAAAAGGGTGCGGATGGAGTCGAACCCGGGAGGCTCTTTCTCACCGCCTTCTCTGATGCATCTTGGGCATCAGAACCAGAGGACATGACAAGTGTGGGAGGCTTCATCTGCTGTGTTGGTGGAGGGCCAACAGCTTGGGAGAGCAAGAAACAAGTGGACCAAGCATTGAGCTCGGTGGAGTCCGAGTACATGGCACTCTTCCGTGCCATAAGAGAGGTTGTGTGGCAGCGGCGTTTGCTAGCTGAATTGGGGGAGGAGCAGCAAGGACCTACCCCACTCTACTGTGATAGCCAGGGTGCTATTGCATTGGCTAAGAACCCCGTTCTTCATGGCCTTACCAAGCACATGAAGGTGAAGTGGCATTGGGTGAGGAGCATGGTAACCGCGGGTGAAGTGGAGTTGCACTACGTGAAGACGACGGCGCAGCCAGCTGATATGATGACCAAGAGGCTGGTTGAGCAGCAGCATTGGAAGTGTTGCAAGCTTGCTGGGATGGCTCTGAACTAAGGGGAGCAGATTCTAAGGCCAACAATCCGAGGGGGAGTTTGTTGGTGCAATCCTATGGCTTGCACTCGGCTTGTCGTCCTTGTTTGTGTGTGTGCATGCATGGCATGGAATGAATTGTGAGTCTATGTCAGTGCTATCTAGTGCTTGTGTGAATGTTTGAATGGTGTATCACAGTGTGGCTTGTGTCGGTCAAGACATTAGCGAGTTTTTACAACTCGCATGTCAAGTCGTCGTTTGTGTGTCGCATGTGTTTTTTCTATTTTGTCGAGTGTGAAGTGTCCATCGTGTCGCAGGTGTGTGCAGCAAGCCCCCATCAACTCAAGAAGAATTTATCTTGCAGATCCAAGAACAAGAGCTCAAGATTTCAAGCCCAAGGGACGCGGATAAATATTAAATAGTGAAAATAGTAACGTTACTTCGTGTAGTGTTACATTTCACTTGGGGTAGCCCCTTGGAGGGTTGGTTTCGAGACTCTTCATGGTTGGGGACTCTGTGGTGGTGTACCACCAACCTGGACCTCGGCTCTTAGGGTATGTAGAGGCTGGGAACCATCTCCCTCTCGAACTCTTCTTGCTAAGTTTGTACTCCTAAGACTACAGTGGCTGCTGTACCTCCTACCAGTCAAACCGCCATAGCGTCGTCAAATCTTCATGGAATCTTATGATTCAACTTGCTGCTGATAGGCGACAGCAACGCGCTCCAGATCCAATTTACAGATCACCGTTTGAGGCACAGATCAGATCGCCACGAAGTTTTGAAGCTGTCTGACTGAATTCTGACTGTCCTGAATTTCTCTCATTTTAGGCACATCTGAGCCTATTGTGATTATAACAGCGCCCGTCGGCCCTGCGCCTTCTGGCCCCGCACCCGCTCAC